GTAGAGAGATGAAAAATGAGTAGGGGAAAGTGGACAGCGAGTAGTCGGAAGGAAGTAGTAAGGAATTGTGAGTAGTGAGGAGTGAGTAGTGTGTAGTGAGTAGTGCATAGTGTGTAACACGCAGGGAGTAGGGATGAGGGAGTAGACAATAGCGAGGAGCGATTCGCGAGTAGTGAGTAGTGAGTGATGCGCAGTGAGTAGAGAGTGGTGAGTGGTGGGTAGCGAGTAGCGAGCAGGGAGAAGCGAGCAAAGAGTAGCGAGTAGCGTGTAGTGGGTAGCGAGTAGCAAGTAGGGCGTTGTGAGCAGTGAGTAGTGAGGAGGGGGTAGTCAGGAGTCAGTAGTGGGTATTGAGTAGGGAGTAGTGCGTAGCGAGTAGGGAGTAGCGAGCAGCGAATAGTTAGTTGTGAGTAGTGAGTAGGGAGTAGTGAGTAGTGAGTAGTGAGTAAGGAATGAGAGGCGAGAAGTGGGTATTGAGTAGCGGGCAGTGAGTAGGGAGTAGCGAGTAGAAATTAGTGAGTAGTGAGTAGCGAGTCGTGAGTAGTGAGTAGTGGGTAGCGACTTGCGTCTAGTGACTAGTGAGTAGTGGGTAGAGAGAAGCGAGTAGTGCGTACTGGGTAGTGAATATGTCGTATTGGGTAGCGAGTAGCGGATAGCGGGTAGTGGGTTGTGGGCAGTGCGTAGTGAGTAGCGAAGTGTGAGTTCTCAATGGTAAGTAGTGGGTACTTTTAATTGGGTAGTGAGTAGTGCTCAGTGAGTAGTGAGTAGTGGGCAGTGAGTAGTGTTTAGTGAGTAGTGAGTAGTGAGTACTGGGTAGTGAGTAGTGAGTTGGGAGTAGGTAGTAAGGAGTGCGAAGTAGTGAGTAGTGAGTAGTGGGAGCGTAGTGAGTAGTGAGTAGTGATTAGTGCGTATTGGGTAGCGAGAAGGGCGTAGGGCGTAGCGAGTAGTGAGCAGTGAGTCGTGAATACTGTGTACGGAGTAGGGAGCAGCGAGTAGCGAGTAGTGGATAGTGAGTGGTGAGTTGTGGGCAGTGGGTAGTGAGTAGCGAAGTGTGAGTAGTGAGTAGTGGATAGTGGTTAGTGGATAGTGAATGGTGATGTGTGATTATTGAGTAGTTGGTAGTGAGGTGTGTTTAGTGAGTAGTGAGTATCGAGTAGTGGGTAGTGAGTAGTGAGTACGGAGTACGGAGTAGGGAGTAGGGAGTAGTGAGTAGTGTGTCGTGTGTAGTGAGTCGTGGGTAGTGAGTAGTGAGTAGTGAGTCGTGGGTAGTGAGTAGTGAGTAGTGAGTTGCGGGTAGTGGGTAGTGCGTACTGACTGGAGGTGGACAGACCTCCTACCCTGTCACGTCGATTAAGGAATTGTCCGTTTTCGGTACGCGAGAGGGCGTCGCGGCCGTCGTTTTTGCGGGTCCAGGTCCGTCGGTTTCGGTCCCAGGCCGTTTTCAGTAAAGGGAGGTTGGAGGTTTATTGAAGGGAGGTCTGCCCACCGCCGAAATGAGTAATGAGTTCTGTTTGGGGCTAGGGTTTGGGTTTGGGGTTCGGGTTAAGGGTTAGGGTAAGGGTGAGGATTTAGTGTTAGGGGTGGTAGGGGTCGGGTTCCGGAGATCGGGGGCGCCGTGGCGAAAGGAAGGGAGGGGGGGGTTCGAATTTGGCGGCCAAAGAGGGGGAAGGGGGAAGGAGGGTCGGACCCCCCCCCTTGTGAAAGGGGGGGGGTGGGAGGGTCCCCGACGACGGACCAGGAAAGGGGGGGGGGATCCCCGACGACAGATCGGGAAAGGGAGGGCGGGGGGGGGGCCCCGACGACGGATCGGGGAAAAGAGGGGGGGTCCCCCCCCCTTGGGGGCCATCCAGCGGCGCGCCCTCTTAATCAGTGCCCCTCTCAAAGAGGCCAACATGTGGCTAAAACCTCGGTCGAATTGATGATTTGGCATTCTCGCCGAGGCCTCTTGGAGCATCTTGGGTGCCTCTGGGGGGCCTCTTGGGCCCTCTTGTGGGTCTCTTGGGGACCTCCTGGGGGCCTTTTGGGGGCCTCTTGGGGCAATCTTGGGGCCATCTTGGGACCTCTTGGGGCCTCCTGGGCGCTTCTTGGGGCCCCCTTGGAGGGCATCAATCAAACAAGCAGCGAGCATGACTTGCCCCCCCCCAGGAGGCCTGAATGGGGCCAAAACCGTAGTAGAACCCATGATTTTGGCTTCCTCGCCGAGGCGGCCGTTTTGGACGTTCCGACGACTCGCGGAACCCCTTGTCCAGGTCCATGGGGATGGGGAAGGGGGAGGGGTCAAGACGTCTTCCCTGCCCGCAAGCTGTCTCGCTCACTCCCACCCGCCCTCCCAACACATACGTAGCACCCGAGCCTGGCCCGAGCCGCAGCATATGCAGCAGTCGTCTTCGATTGGCCAGCTACTGGTGGCCAATCCGCCGCCGCCGCCCCCGCTGCCAAATCGCCGCCGCCGCAGCTGCTACCGCCGCAGTCGCTGCCGCCGCAATCGCTGCCGCCACCGTTGCCGCCGCCGCCACCGCCGCCGCCGCCGCCGCCGCCCCCGCCGCCGCCACCGCCGCAGCCGCCGCAGCCGCTGCCCCTGCCCAAGCCGCCGCAGCCGCAGCCGCCGCCGCCGCCAAGTGTGTTCAGTTTTGTTTTTTGTAAAGGATGGTGGGGGGAGGCCGCATCGGGTTCTTTGCGCATGCTCCGAGTTTGGAGACAGCGTGTGCGTGTGTGTGTGGTGTGTGTATGGTGTGTGTGGTGTTGTGTGTATGTGTGTGCGTGCGTGCGTGCGCGTGTGTGTGTGGTGTATATGTGTGTGGTGCGTGGTGTGTGTGGTGTATGAGTGTGGTGTGTATGTGTGTTGTGTGTGGACGTTGTGTGTTGTGTGTGTTGTGTGTGTTGTGTGTGTTGTGCTGTGTGTGCTGTGTGTTGTGTTGTGTGTGTTGTGTGTTGTGTTGTGTGTGTTGTGTGTTGTGTGGGTTGTGTGGGTTGTGTGTTGTGTGTGTTGTGTTTGTTATGTGTGTTGTGGGTAGTGTGTGTATGTGTTGTGTGTGTTGTGTGTGCTGTGTGTGGGTTGTCTGTGTGTTGCCTGTGTGGTGTCTGTGTGTTGTCTGTGTGTTGTGTGTGTGGTGCGTGTTGTGTGGTGTGCGTGTGTTGTGTGTATGTGTGTTGTGTGTGTTGTGTGTGTGTTGTGTGTGGTGTGTGTGTGTGTTGTGTGTGTTGTGTGTTGTGTGGTTTGTGTGTTGTGTGTGTTGTGTGTTGTGTGTTGTGTGTGTTGTGTGTGTGGTGTGTGGTGTGTGTTGTGTGTGTTGTGTGTGTTGTGTGTGTTGTGTGTTGTGTGTGTGTTGTGTGTTGTGTGTTGTGTGTGTTGTGTGTGTTGTGTGTTGTGTGTGTGTTGTGTGTTGTGTGTGTGTTGTGTGTGTTGTGTGTGGGCGTGCGCGTGCGCGTGCGTGTGTGTGTGTATGTGTGTGCTTGTGTGTTTTTGTGTTTTTTTATTTTACGAGGGATGATGGGGTCAGATTATGTGTTGCATTGTTTCCTCACGAAAAAAAGGGGTGGTGGAGGGGGGGCTCATGGACTTGGGTTGGCTCCCAGTCGCCTGGGGGAGGGGGTGTATACTAATAGGACCCCTCCCCGAAGCCGAAGAAAGAGGGGTGGAAGAGGAAACCCCTTAAACCACCGACGCCCAGAGGGCTGGTGGGATTCGATTGAATATGGCCGACAGAAGAGGATCCCATCCTATTCAAATGTACGGGGAGAGGGAGAGAGAGAGAGAGAGAAAGTCAACAAAAAGAGCACAAAACAATACTGGGATGAGGTGAGAGAAGGAGGAGGAGGATTCGAGCAGCGATGAAAGGGTGTTGCGCCTTGCGCGCGGTGAAGGAGCGGCTCATGATGGCAGATCAATACAGTGCTCCTCCCGCCACCCGCGCTTGCCATAGCGTTTGCCTCCGATTATGCCTTGCTTTCTTTCGTCGTCCTCCTCGTTCGGCGCCGTCGTCCGGTTCCTCCTCCCCCTCCTCCCCCCATCCCTTGTCCTCATGAATAACGTTTGCACGTCGCGCCCCCAAACGTGTCGGTACGGCGGAGGGCGGGTCGTTTTAAGCATGCGGTTCTTGTTGTATCTGCATCAACTTCAAGGACGGAGGGCGGGCGGTTTTGAACTGCGGCTCTTGCCCTGGCGTCGCGCACAAATGTTGCAGCGGCTTCGAGGCTGGAGGGCAGGCTGTTTTCAAATGTCGGCTCTCGGTCCAGCGCCGCGCACCTTCGCCGCACAATGTTGCAGCCGGTTCGAGGATGGAAGGCGGTTATGTTTCCAATTGTGGTTCTTGTCTTGGCGCTGCGCACGTCTGTTTTAAAGTTTGCAACGCTTTCCGTATTCGTATGGCCGTGTGGCCAAAGTCCAAGGACCGTTTTCTGGTACGGCCTAGGTCTGCCACGATACAACATTCACGTTGGTTCGCGTCGTTGACGTCCCATTCCTGGCTTTCTGGCACGATGGAGGATTGTCAGGACGCTCTCGTCACGTTGATTCGCGGCGCGGAAGACTCGGGAATGGCGCTCTGACGCGACTGATGATTCGCAGACGGCTAGGTTCTTGATCTCGGAGGGAGGGTTTATTCCAATATCGTTGATGCGCCCTGGGTTTACACTGGTCCTCCTCCTCCTTCTCACTCTTCATTCTTCCTCGTCGTCATTGCCGTTCTCTCCCCCTTGCACATCCCCCTTTTGCATCCCTCTCCTCTGCGTCGTATTCCCTTCACCCTTCGAGTTCGCTGCCACAGTACCAGGACGGGAATATAGTTGCGAACGTTTCTTCCCCACCCTCTCCCTCCCCTCCCCCCTCAGTCCCTCCTGGATCTCCCAGTCCTCTCACCTTCCCCCTGCTTGCCTGTCCCCTCCTCCCTTCTTTCCTCTCCCCTGTAGTTTCATTGTCTCCTCTATTCTGCCCTCCCCTCCCCTTTCTCCGCCCCCCTCATGCTCTGGGCCCCTCCTCCCCCCCGCTAGTCTCCCCCTTCGGAGCAGCAGGGGACGCCGAAGAGACACCGTCGGGAGGCATTTCTGGTCTGAAGGAGATGGTGCTGCAGTTTATCGTCAAGTCCAAGGAGCGCCTGGCCAAGGCCTCTGTCGGGGGGCGGGTGGGGGGGGGGCACTGGTCCGATCGTCCCCGGGAAGAAGAGCGGGGATGGTCGGGCGGGATGGCGCAGGACGTGAGTTTTACAGGGTAATGAGGGATAGTAGGTGTCTCGTTCGTTCATCGTCTCCTTCTTCCTCCTCACTGTGTCGCTATCCTCTCCCCCCACCCCGCCCCCCCCCCAGCTTTAGTCATCACCTCTCTCCTCTCTAATCCCTTTCCATCCGGCCCATCCCATCATCCGCCCGCTCCCACCAATAATATCGTATTTTGTATCGTAATCCTTTTCTCACCTCTACCCTTGCTCCACGTCCTCCCTGCTACTTGTACAAGTCAGCTCCTCGCTGTCCTCCTCTCGACTATCCTTCCTCAGTCTCCCTCCTATCTCACTCCTCTTCCTCCCTCTCCCTCCTATCTCACTTCTTCCTCAGTCTCCCCATCGTCCTCCCTCCTGCTCTTCCTCCCTCTCCTCATCCTCTTCCTCTGTTGTCCGCCTCTCATGTTCATCATTGCTCCGTCCCTCGTTCTCGCGGCCTCCGGTTCTCGGGTCCCCGTTTAAACGATCCGCCGCGCGTGCCCTGCCATTGTGTTCTCATTGAGTGGTTTTTGTTCGTCCTACAACCCTCGTCAAAAATAAACTGAGGGATTATGTTTTCGGTGATTGTATGGTCGGCGCTACTCCAATGCTGACGCTAGATATCTGACGTGGACGCAAGGGCTTAAAAAATCCGACGACCCCTCCGCAGCATTGAAGAGCGCAGTTTCTAACAAGTGCCCGAGAAGATCGATGATCGTGATTTCCAACTGCGTTTCTGCTTATGTTTGACGAGGCTTGTAGTTCGCAGTCTCTCATCCGTTTCTTCCTCGTCACCCTGATGTTCCTCTTCCCCACTCCAGCTTGGTCGTCCTCCCGTTTTCCTTCCACCTCCTCCTCGTCCTCCTCCACTTTCTCCTCCACGTTCTGCTCCACCTGCTCCTCCTTCTTCTCCACTTCCTCGCCACCCTTCTCCCCCCCCCCCCCACCCCAGTCCATCCTGGCAGTCGGACCTAGGCCAGAAAAACATCCTTCAAGAGCATGAGGCCCTCGGTCGGCCAAAACAAACAGAGCATCCAAGGGTACCCTCCCCAGGATGCACAACAGGATGCAGCAAGCACGAAGACCACTAGGGTACCCTCCCCGAGCCGACCTCGATCTCATACCTCGGTCCGACTGTACCCTTGTTCCGAGACCGCTTTCAGCCAGACCGCAGACCGCTTTCAGCCAGCGATAGATACACCTGCAAAATGTTCAAGGAAGCGTTTCGATCGCGATTCCAATACGGTCCGACTGTACCCTTGTTCCGACGCGGATCCAGCAGTGGCGACGAGACGCCTCCAGGAGGCTCAAGCAGGACGAACACCGCGGGGGAAGGCCTTCGCTGCCTCGGCTCCGGCCGTCTTCCCCCTACAAGTGGAGTCACTGCGGACGCTCTGCGCCAGGCAGGGGGCCGAGGCCACAACGGTGTGGGGGCAATCGGGGCGGCCCGCTTATTTCACAAGCTTCCTCCCGAGGGAGCGCTCGTTCGTCGACGGCAGGGGGGAGGAGGAGTTGGGGGATGGGGGATGAGGAGGAGAAGGCTGTGCTCGCGGGAAAAAACACCCTTCTCCTCATCCCCCATCCCCCAACTCCTCCTCCCCCCTGCCGTCGACGAACGAGCGCTCCCTCGGGAGGAAGCTTGTGAAATAAGCGGGCCGCCCCGATTGCCCCCACACCGTTGTGGCCTCGGCCCCCTGCCTGGCGCAGAGCGTCCGCAGTGACTCCACTTGTAGGGGGAAGACGGCCGGAGCCGAGGCAGCGAAGGCCTTCCCCCGCGGTGTTCGTCCTGCTTGAGCCTCCTGGAGGCGTCTCGTCGCCACTGCTGGATCCGCGTCGGAACAAGGGTACAGTCGGACCGTATTGGAATCGCGATCGAAACGCTTCCTTGAACATTTTGCAGGTGTATCTATCGCTGGCTGAAAGCGGTCTGCGGTCTGGCTGAAAGCGGTCTCGGAACAAGGGTACAGTCGGACCGAGGTATGAGATCGAGGTCGGCTCGGGGAGGGTACCCTAGTGGTCTTCGTGCTTGCTGCATCCTGTTGTGCATCCTGGGGAGGGTACCCTTGGATGCTCTGTTTGTTTTGGCCGACCGAGGGCCTCATGCTCTTGAAGGATGTTTTTCTGGCCTAGGTCCGACTGCCAGGATGGACTCCGGGAGGGATCTGGGAGCAGGGTTTGAGCGAAGTTTGGGGCGGGCGGTACAGCCGCCCTTGTATCACTTTACCCCCCCTTTTGGGATGGGGGGCCCCAGATAGCCCAACATTGCCTCCTGTTGAAGATGGCTCACCATGACCTCCAGCATGATTCCGATTTCCGCGAGGCCACCCCAAGCTCGGAGAGAGAGAGAGAGAGAGACAGACAGAGAGAGAGAGAGAGATAGAGAGACAGACCTAGATAGCCCAAGATGGCCTCTTGCTGAATCTACCTTCAGCATGCCTACAAATGTCGGGCGACGAAATCTATACATATCCATTGCTCCCTGGCCAGGCCCATCCTGAACCCAGGAGTTGTGCATACGCCCTCCTGGCCACGCCAGGAGGGCGCAGCGTATACACAGCTGCTGGGTTCAGCATGGGCCTCGCCAGGGAGCAGTGGATATGTATAGATGTCGTCGCCCTAAAATGCCACACGTCCACCTCAAAGCGGGCCCAAGTGGCCACGGAGTGTCCCGAAGTGATTCCGCAGCACCGCGTCCCTGGTCCTCGTGCCTACCCCCATTGTGACTTTCTCCTGTGAGCTTGGCACGTTCCCTGATGAACCGGTGAGGAGGAGGAGGAGGATGGAGGAGGAGGAGGAGGAGGAGGAGGAGGAGGACGAGGACGAGGAGGAGGAGGAGGAGGAGGAGGAGGCGTTGACCTCGCGTACGACTCCCGCGTACGTCGCGCGCAGAAGCGCCCTCGTCTCCGCGCGGTTGTGCCACGCCGTCGGCCCGCGCGAGCAGCAGCGCAGGGCCGCCACGTCAGCTCGCGCAGGACCCGTGCCCTTCTGGCCTCCTCCTCCTCCCCCTCCTCCTCCTCCTCCCCCCTCCCTCCCCTCCCTCCCTCCCTCCTCCTCCTCCTCCTCTCCTCCTCTCCTCCTCCTCCTCCTCCTCCTCCTCTCCTCCTCCTCCTCCTCTCCTCCTCCTCCTCCTCCCTTCTGGCCGCTCTCCCGGAGCTCTTCCTGACACGCGCCCTCTGGCCTGCGCTTCCGCCGGGGATGCACGAGCGCAACCACCCACGGGGGGCGCGGAGAGATGTTCGCGCCCCGCGCGTCGCGGCCCGAGCCGCAGCGGGGGCCACGTCCTGGGGGAGCTGCGTGAAGGCGCGGAGCTTACCGCTCGCCGCTCATCGCGGGGCGCGACCCGTGAAGTGATCCGGGCTCCATGACGGAGGGGAGGGGGTGCCGGAGAGTTCCGGGGGGTCGACGGTCTGGACAAGAGGCCGCCCTGTCATGGCTTGTCCGGGGTCTCAGAGTACAGTCGGGGCCCTGACGAAGGAACCCTTTTCGTTGGGGAGGGGCTCCGCGTTCCTTGATGATTCTGCAGTTTGCCTTCGGTTTTCCTCAGGTTTCCCATGGGAAATCGAGGTTGAACTTCTGGGAAAAAGGGGCCTCGTTCCTTATTTAGGGTTCCTTAATTAGGTCAACGCCCAGACTGTACCCGTCCGGGAGGGTTGTGACCTCCTTCCTTTAATTAGGTGATGTTGCGTGAGCTAGAGACCTGAGCCCTCCGCACTGTTGCTGGCCGGCGCTTGTCCGGCCAGCCCAACCGCGAGGTGCAGGGCTCCCCGGACTTCGCGAGGATGGGGAAGAATTTCCCGCACCTCTTGGGGGACGCCCCCCCCTGCTTTTGTGCAGAGTTCTCGTGCAGGAGCGTCGAGTCGCGAACATGGCTTGAGGCGGTGATTGTAAGAGTGACCCTACATATAATGAGAATGTTCATGGTCTGTATTTAGTGCCACGCTGGGCAATGAACCAGCGTTGTTGCGTGGAATAGCGACAGGTCTTCAGTTGCGAACCTGTCTCCTGCAGGAGCAGGAGTTCGCTTCTCCACGTGGGTCCCCAGAGACCCTCGGCTCCAACAAAAAAAAATGCAGCGGCCAGTTCTCGCCGTTTTCGGCCTTCCAGGGCCCTCAACGGGCTCAGGGGCCGTTAAAAAACGGCACAGGACGCAAAGCCGGCCCCAGGGAAGTGGTCTAGACCTGCTGCCTGCTGGAATCCACGCATCGAACACAATGGAGCGCCGGATGTTTGGGTCGCTTCTGCATCGTGGAGAGTGCATGTCCGCCGGAGGCATCTCAGGAGGAGGAGGAGGTGGAGGAGGAGGAGGGGGAGGCGGAGAATGGCAGGAGGAGGTGGAGGAGGAGGTGGAGGTGGAGGAGGTGGAGGAGGAGGAGGAGGAGGAGGAGGAGGAGGAGGAGGAGGAGGGGAGGAGGAGGAGGAGGAGGGAGGAGGAGGAGGAGGAGGAGGAGGAGAGGAGGCGAGGAGGAGGAGGAGGAGGAGGAGGAGGAGGTGAAGGAGCAGCAGCAGCACATGTACCGGGAACGGTAGTGACAGGAAGATGAGGGACTCGGGAGGGATACAGGGAAGGAGAGCAGTGCGAGGAGAGGATGAGGGGGCGGGAGGAGGAGAGGGGGAGGAGGAGGAGGAGGAGGAGGAGGAGGAGGAGGAGGAGGAGGAGGAGGAGGAGAGAAGTGCGAGGAGGAGGAGGAGGAGGAGGAGGAGAGGAGGAGGAGGAGGACGCGGCGAGGGAAGGAAGGACTGAGGGGTAGAGGGAGCGGGGGGGAGAAGAGAAGGGGGAGGAGGGAGGATGAGGATGATAGCATGAGGATGATAGCATGTGAAGGAAGCTGAGAAGGAGGAGGATGGAGGAGGAGGAGGAGGAGGAGGCGGAGGAGGAGGAGGAGGAGACGGTGACGGAAGGAGGAGGAGGAGGAGGAGGAGGAGGACGAGCGGAGAGATGTCTCATTTGTATTTCATGGTGGTGTTCACAGTCAAGATTGAGGAACCAGTGCTGACGGGACGTGCGCATAGTACTGCTTGTCTGCCTGCCCAAATGTCAACGAGCATCGCGCGACAACGCATTGATCACCTCTATTACCATGGCGTAAAATATCCAACCGCCACAAAAGAAGTGCGTGCCCCATGTTTTCATGATCAAGAACGATGAGGTAGAGGATAAAATGGAGGAATGAAGCGCGCGCTCGTAATCTACCTCGTGCATGGCTTTCAGCTTTGCAGAGTTTTCTTGCTCTAGGGTTCGCGGGTGCGGCTGCGGAGGAGGAGGGAAAAGAGGAGAAAGAGGACGGACAACAAACAATCGTAATTTGAGAAGGAGGACAGTTGTTTTTCTTCAGGGGAAGACGGGTCCCACTTTGCGGCTCCCCTCCATGTCCTTCAGATGTTGCGCCACGTAGCCCTGTGATCGAGCCTCGTGCTTTCTATCGTGTCATATCGTATGCACTCCGACTCCGCTTGGCCATTGTCATTCTGGGAAGGTGTAGGTTGCTCATCAGAGCCGGGCTTCTGCACCTCCAACGTTGCCATCATGTGTTGCGCCAGTGCCGATGCATTTGATGTTGTTGCGCATGCTAGTACGCTCCTTACCTGAGGAGATTATCTCCGCCTTTGTCCCGCCCGAGACGAAGAAGAGGCAACGCGGCGAATTATGAGAAGAAGAAGGAGATGTTGAGGTGGGGGAACATGAGGAGACTGAGAGCGAGGAGGTGAGCAGCATCAGCATACATAGGAGTAGGAGCAGGAGCAGGAGGACGAGTGGGAAGGGAGGGGGAGGGAGAAGACCGTTAAGGATGTGGAGACCCAGGAGGTTGAGGAGTAGCAACTCCGGCAGGAAAAGGACGAGCAGGCTGATCAGGAGCACCATGACGATGGAGGAAGAGCATACACACGACCAGGAACCCGAGAAGGACAAGCAGGGGAAGGATGAAGAGGATAACCGAATGTGAACATGGACTGGACCAAGGCCAAGAGGAACAGGAACAATGTTGGGAGAGGCAGGAGGAGGAGGAACAAGAAAAGGGTGCTGGTGAGACGGCGGAGAAGCAGAGGGAGACGGAGGAGGAGGGAGAGCAAGAAGAGGATACGGTGAGGGGCGGGAGTAAGAGGAGGAGGCGACGGAGGACGAGGTGGAGGACCGGGTGGAAGAGATGATACGGAGGGAGAGTTTGCTGAAGGGGATTGCGGAGGATGACGGGGAGGACGAGGAGGTGGATGAGAAGAAGAATTGTAAGGATTGGGGAGGATGAGAGTAGGCGGAGCTGCGGCGGAGAACCACTCAAGCTCTGCGCGACGGAGGCCTCCGACCACGGCGATTACTCCACTCCTGGGGATCCCCAGCCTCCCGATCCTCATCTTCCTCCTCACTAGAGGTAGGAGGCCTGGCCTCCTAATGTGCAGCGGAGATGGCGACAATACGGCAGGCTCGCAGCATCTCGGCGCGGCAGCAGCGCTTGCGCGAGTGTTCGGGGAAACCCACCCGAAGCGCAGTTCGCTCGAGATCGAACGGTTCACGTGGTGACAGAGACTGCGTTGTCCTGTTTGCATGCCGTTTTTGTTTTCCTTGTTTTGTTTTGGGGCGCCAGCGCAAGCGCGCATCCGTGTTGTTTTCGGTCTTGCGGGCGACTGTCTGGAACGAAACGGAAGGTTGGAAGGATGGGCCCGTTTGGGGCGTTTCATAGTTGTGAGCCCAAGCAGTGTTCAAAACGAGAACGACGTTTGCTCGCGCCCTGTCCGTCGGTAGTTGTGAGCAGATTCCAGTCTACGTTGAGCGCCGTCTTGTTTCAAGGGCCGATTGGCTTGCCATCGTCCTTCGTCTCCAGGGGGCGGGCGGAGATCCGGTCTACGTTCAATTTCTGCCCACGCCATGCCTCTGCCCGCTTCTTCCGACCGACGGGTAAGCTATCGCATGCGTAATCGTCGAACCCGCGCCCGTCCTGCCTCGGGTAGGGGGCTTGGCACTTGGCTGAGGCAGTTCTGCGACAGCCCGTGAACGCAGGCGCACGCACCCAGCGTCTCCCTACTCGCCCTGGGTCGAGGCAGCCAGAGGACAAGGTATTGGAGTGTTCGCGACCTCGTCGCTCCCCGAGTAGCTGTCGTGTCTCGCTGTTGCGCTCCATGCCCCAGTGGCGCTCTGTGCTGCGCGCGTCCAGACGCCGACAGCGGCGGCGGGGGTTGGCCGCCGAGCGGCCGTGTGCGAGCCGGCCTCATGCCTCCCCTCGCGCACCCGCAGGCCTGTCGCCGCCGCGCTTCCGGACGACTGGGAGTCCAGGAGAGGGCAGCGCCGACGGCGACGCCGGCGCAGGCCCAGATCGTTTACGACGTTTTTTTCTCGACCGGGGGCTCTTCATAGATGTTGGTGTTCGGGGGCCGTTTTCGGGCCTCAGGACCACCAAAAGCGGATCCGATACGACATCTTACCCTTGGGGAAGCAGCCGGGACTTCTGTTGCCGCGGATTAAAGCAGATCGGATCGGCGGATGTCGGGGGACCAGCGAGGACGCCGACGGCGACGAGGCTTGAGGAGCTTAGAGTTCAAAAGCAGGAGAGATGGCCTCAAGCCAGCTCAGATGTTGGTCGCATGCATTGTCACCCTCGAGATGGAAGTTCGTCCAACAATGTCGCTGCTGACACTCGCTTACTTCGACCGCACTGGGAAGACTAATTACACAGAGGGCGGGGGAGGACGAGGACGAGGAGCACGAGGATTACGAGGAAGAGGGGGGGTGGACGAGGAGGACGAGGAAGAAGGAGGGGGGAAGAGGAGAGGGCAGGAGGAGGGGGGGCGCGACTGGGCAGCCAACACTCACCAGTGATGATGCAATGTGCCCTCCCAGCCCAAGCCCCCTCACAAGTCGACGCAGGCGTTCAGCATCAGTGGAAACGTGAGGGCCCCTCGTCAACGGTTCAAAGATGGGGCCCTGAGGCAAGTGTCCTTCAGGATGGCATCACTAGTTTTGCGGCGAGCCGCCGCTATGGTCCAGGCCTGCTTGCTGATTTACTCTGGAGGACGAGCGCCTGCTTTTCAGCGAGGCGGCGACGGGAGTCTATCTCTCTCCCAGGTCCGTTGGGCGACGGGTCAGCCCTGTGGACCTCGCAGGGGCCTGCAGCCGCTTCTCACCCGAGCTGATGCCGGCACCGTAGCTGATGGGAATGATAAGCTTGGCTCCCGCCTCAGTTCCTTCTGTGAGGCCTCCAGAGGAGGCGTCCAGACGCCCAAGCAAGGCAGCCCGGCGCCCAAATGGCGCTTAGGCACTAGACAGTTGTACGATCTATCGAAGACGCCTACGGCGAATCACCGCCGCCCCCTGCCCTTGTGGAAGCGCCTGTGTGGCTGAACGTTGAGGCCAGACCTGCCAAGCTAGCGGAACATGTGTTCCCCGAATCGGTTTGGAAAGCTTTCGGGGAACACGTGGGCATCTTGAAGGTCATCTTGGCCGCCCGGAGGCCATTTTGACCCTTTCGGGTCTTCTTGAAGGACGTCTTGGAGGGCGCTTGGGCCGTCTTGGAGGCCATCTTGAGCGTCTTGGAGGCCGTCTTGGGGGCCTCTTGGGGCCGTCTTGGGCCTCTTGGGTGATCTTTGGGGGCACTTGGGCCGTCTCGGGCCGTCGGAAGGCCGAAAAAGAGCAAACGTCACAATCCTTCAAAAACTCATGGTAAATCAATGATTCATCAGGCTTACGCCACATCCGCCGACCCCTTGATTCGGTATGGGTGCCAACTCAGGATCTCGCAGGGGATGTCGGATACTGTTTCGGGCACTGGAGTCTCACTATTTTGGGTCGTTCTCTCGGGTACTCGGGTCTCCCTCGGGTTGTCAGTGCGGCCTCTTCGAGCTCTCTTGGGCTGGAATTTTCGGTTCGCGTTTCTGGTTGTGCCTCTGATTGGGCTCTCTTGCGGCTGTCCTGGGTGCGTCTTTGGAGGCCTCTGGGCTTCCTGGGAGCCACTTGTGGCCTTTCCTGAGGCCGTCTTGGAGCGCTTGATTGCCCTCTTGGGCGCCGCTGGGGCCGTCTTGGAGCTCTCTTGGGCCGTATTGAGGGAATCTTGGGAAAGTTTTGAGCCGTCTTGGAGCAGTTTTGGGTGCCTCGCGGGTGTTCGCCCACGCCGCGAAGGCCGAAAAGGCGTGTATGCGAAAGGTGCGCGATGCCCACAGGAATTCTGCGATTTCGGTTTCTTGGGGGCTTCCTGGGAAGCCTCTTGAAGGCCTCTTGGGGAGTCTTCGCGGCTTCTTGGGCGTCTTGGATCGATCATTCGGCGACTTGGGGGTGTCTCAGGAGAGGCAAAAACACACAGACACGATTAATCGGCGATTCCCAGGAAAATATGGGAAAATATGGGAAGCGGGGGGGAAGACAGAAACCCAGAAAATATGGGAAAATGTGGGGAATCCTTTTATTTGTGTGTATTTATTTGTGTGTCCCAGTTTCCCTTCAGTGTCTTGGGAGGCTTGACGAGTTGTCTTGGAGCTCCCGGCGGCGCCGGCGGGGCCCGGACCGCCCCTGGTGAGTTCGGGGGTGGGTCGGATCCGACGAGGGGGGGGGGGGTCAAATTGCCGGTTTGGGGTCCCGGGGGGGGGGTTATGGGAGAGAACCATCTCACTCGCCTAGAGACCCACAAGGGGTCGGCGGATTTTGGTCTTTTCGGGCCTTCCTGGAGGCCCTTTTGGAGGCCTCTTGGGCCGTCTTGGGCCATCTTAGTGCCGTCTTCGGCCGTCTTCGGCCGTCTTGGTGGGCCGGGGGGGGGGGGTTCTGGGGGGGAACAATCTCATATGCCTAGAGACCCGCAAGGGGTCGGCGGATGACGGGAAGCGCGAACGAGGAACGAGGAGCGTGGACCGTTTTTCTTAAGGAAAAACATTTCTATGGGGCTCCTGATTGCATCCCGGCCGGGCGTTGGCGGATGACGGGAAGCGCGAACGAGGAACGAGGAGCGTGGACCGTTTTTCTTAAGGACAAACTTTTATATGGGGCTCCTAATTGCATCCCGGCCAGGCGTTGGCGGATGACGGGAAGCGCGCTAAGACTCGAAGAGTCGCGCGATGGACGTTGTTTACGGGCCCAGAGGGGAGAACATTTATCAAGTGGGGGGGTCCAGGGGGGGAGTGGTGGCGGGGTCGGGCTCGGATTCCGAGGTGGCGGATGACGGGAACGGGCTAAGATGACGGGAAGCGCGCAATGGACGTTGTTCATCGGCCCAGAGGGGAAAGTATTTATCAAGTGGGGGTTCCAGGGGGGGAGTGGTGGCGGGAGCGCCCTCGGATGACGGGAAGCGCGCTAAGACTCGAAGAGTCGCGCGATGGACGTTGTTTATCGGCCCAGAGGGGAAAACATTTATCAAGTGGGGGGGTCCAGGGGGGGAGTGGTGGCGGGGTCGGGCTCGGATTCCGAGGTGGCGGATGACGGGAACGGGCTAAGATGACGGGAAGCGCGCAATGGACGTTGTTCATCGGCCCAGAGGGGAAAGTATTTATCAAGTGGGGGTTCCAGGGGGGGAGTGGTGGCGGGGTCGGCCTCGGATTCCGAGGTGGCGGATGACGGGAAGCGCGCTTAGACTCGAAGAGTCGCGCGATGGACGTTGCTTACGGGCCCGGAGGGGGAATATTTATCAAGTGGGGGGGAGTGGTGGCGGGGTCGGGCTCGGGCCCTGAGGGGGCGGATGACGGGAAGCGCGCTAAGACTCGAAGAGTCGCGCGATGGAACGTTGTTTCTCGGCCCGGAGGGGAAATATTTATCAAGTGGGGGGGTCCAGGGGGGGAGTGGTGGCGGGATCGCCCTCGGATCGCGAGGTAGCGGATGACGGGAAGCGCGCTTAGATTCGAAGAGTCGCGCGATGGACGTTGTATACGGGCCTGGAGGGGAAATATTTTTCAAGTGGGGGGGTCCAGGGGGGGAGTGGTGGCGGGATCGCCCTCGGATCGCGAGGTAGCGGATGACGGGAAGCGCGCTTAGACTCGAAGAGTCGCGCGATGGACGTGATTTCCGGGCCCGGAGGGGAAATATTTATCAAGTGGGGGGGTCCAGGGGGGGAGTGGTGGCGGGGTCGGGCTCGGGCCCTGAGGGGGCGGATGACGGGAAGCGCGCTTAGATTCGAAGAGTCGCGCGATGGACGTTGTTTCCGGGCCCGGAGGGAAAGTATTTATGAAGTGGGGGGGTCCAGGGAGGGAGTGGTGGCGGGGTCGGCCTCGAGCCGCGAGGTGGCGGATGACGGGAAACGAGCGTTTCGCTCGAGACATCCTCCCAAAATCGTGAAGTTGGGGGTCGTATCTTAAGACGTCTTTTGCTAAAACTGGGCGTTTCGCTCGGGACATCCTCCAAACATCGGGATCTCGAAATCGCTCGCCTAATTTTCGGATCCTCGAAAATGGGCGTTTCGCCCGAGACATCCTCGAACAAATGGGATGCCGACGGAGCTCTTGCAGGGCATCTTTTCGGAGCGATCTCGGATGACCCCCAAGATGGCCCAAGAAGCGAAAATATTGAAAAACCCATGTGTTTTACACACTTTCGTTGAAAAATCAGCGTTTCGCTCGAGACATCCTCCCACAATTACCACTTCCTCCTCCTCCTTTTCCTCCTCCTCCTCCTTTTCCTGCTTCTCCTTCTCCTCCTCCTCCTCCTCCTCATCCTCCTCCTTCTGTTCGTCTTCCTCCTCCTGCTCCTCGTCCTCTTCCTCATCGTCCTCCTCCTCCTCCTCGCCTTCTTCCTACTTCTCCTTCCTCCTCCTCCTCTTCCTCCTCCTCCTCGTCCTCCTCCTCGTCGGTCTTGTCCTCTTCCTCTTCCTCCTCTTTCTCCTCCAACTCCTCCTCCTCCTCCTGTTCTTCCTCCTTTTCCTCCTCCTCCTGCTCCTGTTCCTCTTCTTCCTCGTCCTCCTCCCCCTCCTCCTCCTCACCTCTTCTGCTGCTGCTGCTGCTGATGATGCTGCTCCTTCTCCTCCTTCTCCTCCTCCTCCTCCTCCTCCTCCTCCTCCTCCCCTCCTCCTTCTCCCCTCCTCCTCCTCCTCCTCCTCCTCCTCCGTCTCCTCTCCCTTCTTCCCCGGTCGTCGTCTTCGCCGTCGTCTTCCTCATGCGGAGGAGTGGTGAGGATTCTCAGGATCATGCTTGTGAACGTTCGGGGGGCGCGTGTCCATACGTATCCCTTGTGAGCGTTCGGAGAGCTCGCCTGTACTACATTTGATCGCGATGATGCTGCAAGTTCTTGCGTAACTCTTCCCTTTCACGCGCTTCCCGTTCATGTCAGGAACGGTTTTTAAAAAGGGCGTATCGCTCGAGACATCC